AGTTGTCATCCTCTGGACATGTTGTGATGCCTGTACGCTGTCAACACCTCTCCTCTGCTCCGTGTTCCCTTCACAGCGTGTACCGCTTGTTCTCCGCTGACCGGAAGCGAGTGGAGACCGCTTTAGAGGCTTGTAGTCTTCCATCCTCAAGGGTAAGCATATTGCCTTCCTGAAAATATGCAGCTGAATGGCACTCAGTGATCCGTAACAGAATTATTCCAATCACATCTAAGTGTATTTTCAGTCTAAAAGACCAGAGGCCTTTTTTGGTACTGTTTTCAGGCTGAGAGATGGTGGCTATGTTTTCATTGCTACCCATCACCTGTTTTGATCTAGAACGAACCTTACTTCTCTGTCAACATAAACACAATAAACATGTAATCAGGTTTATTAAAAAAACAATGGCCAAAAAGATTGATATTATCCAGAAGACCGTTTACAATGTGAACTTATACTGTGCCAATCTATACTCATATTAGTGCTTTTCTTGATGTCCCTTGAGCTATGAGCCAATTACAGTATGAAAGCCTTATGATTAGGGAGCTACTTGAAGCATTTCTTTCAGTTGACGTCATCCTTTATAAATTTCTCGTTTTAAGATTTACAAACTCTGACAGCATTTGATATGATAATGAATGCTTATAAACAAATGTATGTGCATATTTTGGGGGAATTTACTAGACAAGGGTTGGTTTTGTTTTGTTTTTACTTGAGAGGTGCATGATCACACTTGTTTGGAGACCACCCTACCTTTCATATATGGTGGTAAAGTAGGCCAGAGGATAAGCATGGAAAGTACTTAAAATAAAAAATAAATTTCCTGCCATGTAGGAGGTACTCAATGTATGTTGCTGCTGTCAAGTCAGTTCTGACTCATGGTAGTGACCCGGTGTGACAGAGGAAAGCGGCCGCATAGACTCTCCGAGGCTGTAATCTCCGTGTGTTTTCGCCTGAAGAATGGATGGTGTGTTCAAATCTCTGACATTTCACTTAGGAGCCAAGTGATTAGCTATTGTTTACAAGGGCTCCTTTTCAATAGAATGTTA